CCATCTCACATTTCACCTGGAAGACTTCGATGCCATTGAGTCTTCTCCCCACGCCCCATCTCACATTTCACCTGGAAGACTTCGATGCCATTGAGTCTTCTCCCCACGCCCCATCTCACATTTCACATGGAAGACTTCGATGCCATTGAGTCTTCTCCCCACGCCCCATCTCACATTTCACATGGAAGACTTCGATGCCATTGGGTCTTCTCCCCACGCCCCATCTCACATTTCACAAGGAAGACTTCGATGCCATTGAGTCTTCTCCCCACGCCCCATCTCACATTTCACCAGGAAGACTTCGATGCCATTGAGTCTTCTCCCCACGCCCCATCTCACATTTCACCTGGAAGACTTCGATGCCATTGAGTCTTCTCCCCACGCCCCATCTCACATTTCACATGGAAGACTTCGATGCCATTGAGTCTTCTCCCCACGCCCCATCTCACATTTCACATGGAAGACTTCGATGCCATTGGGTCTTCTCCCCACGCCCCATCTCACATTTCACAAGGAAGACTTCGATGCCATTGAGTCTTCTCCCCACGCCCCATCTCACATTTCACCAGGAAGACTTCGATGCCATTGGGTCTTCTCCCCACGCCCCATCTCACATTTCACCAGGAAACCTTCGATGCCATTGAGTCTTCTCCCCACGCCCCATCTCACATTTCACCTGGAAGACTTCGATGCCATTGAGTCTTCTCCCCACGCCCCATCTCACATTTCACCTGGAAGACTTCGATGCCATTGAGTCTTCTCCCCACGCCCCATCTCACATTTCACCTGGAAGACTTCGATGCCATTGAGTCTTCTCCCCACGCCCCATCTCACATTTCACCTGGAAGACTTCGATGCCATTGAGTCTTCTCCCCACGCCCCATCTCACATTTCACCTGGAAGACTTCGATGCCATTGAGTCTTCTCCCCACGCCCCATCTCACATTTCACCTGGAAGACTTCGATGCCATTGAGTCTTCTCCCCACGCCCCATCTCACATTTCACCTGGAAGACTTCGATGCCATTGAGTCTTCTCCCCACGCCCCATCTCACATTTCACCTGGAAGACTTCGATGCCATTGAGTCTTCTCCCCACGCCCCATCTCACATTTCACCTGGAAGACTTCGATGCCATTGAGTCTTCTCCCCACGCCCCATCTCACATTTCACCTGGAAGACTTCGATGCCATTGAGTCTTCTCCCCACGCCCCATCTCACATTTCACCTGGAAGACTTCGATGCCATTGAGTCTTCTCCCCACGCCCCATCTCACATTTCACCTGGAAGACTTCGATGCCATTGAGTCTTCTCCCCACGCCCCATCTCACATTTCACCTGGAAGACTTCGATGCCATTGAGTCTTCTCCCCACGCCCCATCTCACATTTCACCTGGAAGACTTCGATGCCATTGAGTCTTCTCCCCACGCCCCATCTCACATTTCACCAGGAAGACTTCGATGCCATTGGGTCTTCTCCCCACGCCCCATCTCACATTTCACCAGGAAGACTTCGATGCCATTGAGTCTTCTCCCCACGCCCCATCTCACATTTCACAAGGAAGACTTCAATGCCAATTGGTCTTCTCCCCACGCCCCATCTCACATTTCACCAGGAAGACTTCGATGCCATTGAGTCTTCTCCCCACGCCCCATCTCACATTTCACCTGGAAGACTTCGATGCCATTGAGTCTTCTCCCCACGCCCCATCTCACATTTCACCAGGAAGACTTCGATGCCATTGGGTCTTCTCCCCACGCCCCATCTCACATTTCACCAGGAAGACTTCGATGCCATTGAGTCTTCTCCCCACGCCCCATCTCACATTTCACAAGGAAGACTTCAATGCCAATTGGTCTTCTCCCCACGCCCCATCTCACATTTCACCAGGAAGACTTCGATGCCATTGAGTCTTCTCCCCACGCCCCATCTCACATTTCACCTGGAAGACTTCGATGCCATTGAGTCTTCTCCCCACGCCCCATCTCACATTTCACCTGGAAGACTTCGATGCCATTGAGTCTTCTCCCCACGCCCCATCTCACATTTCACCTGGAAGACTTCGATGCCATTGAGTCTTCTCCCCACGCCCCATCTCACATTTCACCTGGAAGACTTCGATGCCATTGAGTCTTCTCCCCACGCCCCATCTCACATTTCACCTGGAAGACTTCGATGCCATTGAGTCTTCTCCCCACGCCCCATCTCACATTTCACCTGGAAGACTTCGATGCCATTGAGTCTTCTCCCCACGCCCCATCTCACATTTCACCTGGAAGACTTCGATGCCATTGAGTCTTCTCCCCACGCCCCATCTCACATTTCACCTGGAAGACTTCGATGCCATTGAGTCTTCTCCCCACGCCCCATCTCACATTTCACCTGGAAGACTTCGATGCCATTGAGTCTTCTCCCCACGCCCCATCTCACATTTCACCTGGAAGACTTCGATGCCATTGAGTCTTCTCCCCACGCCCCATCTCACATTTCACCTGGAAGACTTCGATGCCATTGAGTCTTCTCCCCACGCCCCATCTCACATTTCACCTGGAAGACTTCGATGCCATTGAGTCTTCTCCCCACGCCCCATCTCACATTTCACCTGGAAGACTTCGATGCCATTGAGTCTTCTCCCCACGCCCCATCTCACATTTCACCTGGAAGACTTCGATGCCATTGAGTCTTCTCCCCACGCCCCATCTCACATTTCACCTGGAAGACTTCGATGCCATTGAGTCTTCTCCCCACGCCCCATCTCACATTTCACCTGGAAGACTTCGATGCCATTGAGTCTTCTCCCCACGCCCCATCTCACATTTCACCTGGAAGACTTCGATGCCATTGAGTCTTCTCCCCACGCCCCATCTCACATTTCACCTGGAAGACTTCGATGCCATTGAGTCTTCTCCCCACGCCCCATCTCACATTTCACCTGGAAGACTTCGATGCCATTGGGTCTTCTCCCCACGCCCCATCTCACATTTCACCTGGAAGACTTCGATGCCATTGGGTCTTCTCCCCACGCCCCATCTCACATTTCACCTGGAAGACTTCGATGCCATTGGGTCTTCTCCCCACGCCCCATCTCACAATTCACCAGGAAGCCTTTGACGCCATCCATTTCTTTTTATCGACGAAATGCCCTGTCTGATCGTCATTAAAATGATTTTCTTGAAGTAAACAAAATAATATTTTCCTTTAATTTGGTGAATATCTATAATTGGATTGTCACTATACAGATTCCATGGGTAAAAGTTAAGCTGAAGCCCAAATTATACCCACAGGGTGCGCCACAAACGGACGTAAGTTGTTTTTATGTATGGCGCGTCAGTGCTGGTCCTGGGCGTAATGTTACTTAATTCTTGCGCTGATACATGCCCCTACCCCTCTTTTCCAAAACGCCGGAAATATGAAGAATTATGGGCTATTAGTATTAGCGAAATGTGTTTGTTTCAGAAACTTATCCGGGGTCAAGTGGGGCTAATAATCCCCCCCCCCCCCGCAAAAAAACAAAAACAAAAACTCTGCAGTTAACCGAAAACGCTGCCACTGGAGAAAAATTTAAAAAAATAACGGGACATTGGTTTGAACCGTCCCATCCGCCCCACTTCCTTCCCCACGGCCACAGCCAACCACACCAATTCAATTCTGGTTTAAATATAGTATATCCAGATAGGCCATGCCTTGCATTTTTATTCTCCGGCTTTTGACACCTCCAGTAGTTGAACAATGTTGAATTGTACATAGGCGCTATGCTTAAGCTTTTATAGTTGTTCCCCTTAGTCAAATATACTTTGCCTAGTTTACTTCAATTCATCATAACATATCGTAAACAAACTCCAACATTCATCTAACATGCTTACACCACGTCATTTTTCTAATATGCTTACACCACGTCATTCATCTAACATGCTTACACCACGTCATTCATCTAACATGCTTACACCATGTCATTCATCTAACATGCTTACACCACGTCATTTATCTAACATGCTTACACCACGTTATTCATCTAACATGCTTACACCAAGTCATTCATCTAACATGCTTACCCCACGTCATTCATCTAACATGCTTACACCACGTCATTCATCTAACATGCTTACACCCATATCCGACTTATTATAAATGGAATATATGAAGAAAAAAACCGGTTTGTTTCCGAAGATACAAATTCTGTCAGACGCTGCTTGGTCTTTCAGTAACTGTGATTAAAGGTGCTATTAATCAATATAAAAAAACCTCTTGACAAGATAAGTATAGAATGTCATTACTCGGTCTGAATTGATCTGGGCATTGGCATAGCACTTCTAGATGCACATCAATGGAAAAAATAAGTTGTTTCTGTTTATCAATAACTAAATCTTTTTGTCGAGACAATTCCCGCTTCATTTCCCCTCATAGAAACCTTGACACACACCTACGTCGAGCGCGCCAACATACTATTTGGGAGTAAATCGGATCCCTATGGTAAAATGAAACATTCACTATCCGATTTGAACCACTTCAAAATCACCAGAAACGAACACGAAGAAATTATTACCAATTTATCCTCTAACCTAAGAATTCAAGGCTAAACAGCTGAAGAATTATTTCAACATGAATACACTCCTACGCCTGGCTTCCATTAATTTCACAACACCGAGATCTTTGTTTAGATAATTTGTTTATTCACAGATGTTGTTGATTTTTTTTTTTTTTTTTTCAATGACGTATTAATTATGTATTATCAATTAATTTTTCGTAGAGATTTCCTGGCACTCTTTGCAGGACGCTTCAGCCAGTTCATTTTGAAACTTGTCAAAAAAAGTTATCCTTGAAGAATTATTTCAACATGAATACACTCCTACGCCTGGCTTCCATTAATTTCACAACACCGAGATCTTTGTTTAGATAATTTGTTTATTCACAGATGTTGTTGATTTTTTTTTTTTTTTTTGCAATGACGTATTAATTATGTATTATCAATTAATTTTGCGTAGAGATTTCCGGGCACTCTTTGCAGGACGCTTCAGCCAGTTCCTTTTGAAACTTGTCAAAAAAAGTTATCCACGCTTCTTGGCACTTACTGTTCCAGACAATAGTGCTCCTCATTTTAATAGCGTCAATGTAGCTGTCTCTTAGAGCAGTTTGATACTTGAGCAGTAGGCCACGCTCGTGGTACTTGCCTAGTTGAGTCGCTATGTTCTTCATGGCATTCGGGTCATCCAGCCTATTCACACACCTGTCCACGACACTGGTCACTTTCAAGCCGTGCTCCTTAAGTTTAATGCTTTGACTCAGTTCCTCTCTGGGGATATCCTTGAAGACCAGGAAAGAGTCCTGGGCCTCCGGATGAGTGTTGAAAAACCGCAGAAAAGACTCCATCCCAACTTCCCCTATTTGTTCTCTCAGATCGCTCCACACGGTCTTGATCAGCCTTTTGTGTTCGTCGGTTAGCTCACCTTTCCCGACCGGATGTACCTTCTTGGTGCAGCAGCTGAGCATCTTTAAGAGTAAGTAAGAATTGACGAAAATATCCTTGGAACTAACTCCATTGTTGTATTAATTCAACTGAAATTATAAGGTAGGGATTTATTTCTATAAAATAGATAGAATTTGAAAACGTTTCTTTTTTTTTTTTTTTTTTTTAAATTTTAGTTTCGATGAGTAAATTAATGAATATCCAAACTTTTGAAAAAATCAAATCCATTTGACATTTTCCAACTAGAAGCAGGATTTTCTTCTACTTAAGCTAGAAAAAGAACGAGTGTAGATATTTAAACAGTGGTTTCAAAACATGATGATACTGAAGACATCCTGAAAGGTCATTTAAAACGGTTTTAGTACACATTTGGTGAAAACCAATGTTTTGACGTTTCTTTTCATTCCCCTATTGAACTTGGAAAGCTGTCGATATTAAATACGACCCCCCAACCCCTTCGTTCGTCACCCGCTGAGATAAGAGCAGGCATTAAGCCCTCACAGACTCAAGCATTAAGCATGTGTATAGCCTTACTGCTGGGACATATCCATGTATCGCTATACGAAGTGGCTAGTCGTACCCGGGTACAGAAGTGAGAGGTTGGGATTTAAAAAAAACCCCAAACTATTTAAAATATTATTGTTGGGTTTGTAAGATAAACTGAGGTATCAAATGAAAGATAATTGAATGGACTGTATGTTGGTAAACTTACTTCTTCAGTTTAACTATAATAAACTACCACAAATGACTTCCGAATAGCACTGAGTCTAATGGGACCCGTACCCCAATGGCGGCGATGCGTATGCGGGTCCATTTGGACTAAATACACCTGAACACCATGTTCCCTACTTCGGTTAGCTATTTCCCTTTTATGGTCTATCCCAGACTAAATTAAATGGAAACAATGTTCACAAAAATATAGCCTACCCATTAAGAGTCCTCAATAAAAGACACAACCCCACCCCTGTCACGGTCAGATCGCGTGAGTTTTTCTGTCAACTTCTATGGTGTTAATTTGACCAATCGTGGGTGAGTTTATTTTCCCCGTGTGCCCCACGGGTTTTTATTTTTCACGGTCAAGGTATGACCGGTGTGCTGTGTCGGGAGGAACCACGTGTGTGAGATGAGTTTTTTAAAGAGTGAACAGTGGCGAGTGCTGTGGATAGGGTGTATCATTTTTGTCTTGTGAAGGCAGTGAGTTTTTCTACGGATGGAAGAGGACTTGTGTGACTTTAACTGTTTTGTATAGTATGTGGAGTTTTTTTTTGTTGTTCTGAACACCAGAGCTTATTTCTAATGAATTTTCCATTGTTAGGCACACATAGCCAATAAATAAGAAAACCTGAATCTCTGAATTGTTTGTTGATACTTGGAGCAAGAGTCAGCTCTGTAGGAGCTAGAAATAAAGGGGTTCTAGACCCTTGAA